AATTTTGGAAAGCCGGTCCTGCCCCCCTAATGTGTTGTTCATCTCCCATTGTGGGATCACGCTCCGAAAGCTACGACGCTACGACAGCAAGGCAGTACGACGAAGGTTTTGAGGCTACTGGGCTACCCCGAGCATCGGCGTCAACAGAAACCACACAGGAAAGTGCTATGGAAATGCTTTTACGCCGTTCATGGGAGATTTGCGCGCTCAGATAGAGATGCGACGATCTTCAGTGAGCGCCTTCGCTCACGAGGGGACATTGCACGTCTCATGCATTATGCCGACGTCCCTCTCGCCGACTCCTCATTAACATTTCGTTGCCGGCACACGATAATTAGGCAAACCCTTTTTTGCCCTCTACTAAAGCATTTTTACGCTGCAAGTGCTGATGTTCCCCTCCCTGACCGCTGGCCTTCTCCATTGTCTAGTCCCCCATACGTATTGTTCACAAAGTGTTAGAACGATCGGTTTCCAGCTATTTTCTTGTCAAATAGCATACTTTAGATGAATATGGGTGTTGCGCTTCACCTTAGATAGTCCCGAGTTACGTTGCACAGGCCTTCCTGTGCAAAGCCGCTCACGCCCACGACTTCGGCGCAGCCATGCATCGTGATACGTCATTCAAGCACTCTACTATGGGGCAGTAAAGCGTTTATAATACTGCAGAACAATCTTGAAAACTTGTTGAGTACCTAAAGATAACCAACGCCGGGGTTTTTTGGGAAAGCAGCAGCCATTCCACGCCATTGGGGACAACCCCACGCAGACGGAGGAGACGCCTGTCAATTTACGGCTCCCGTCCCCAGCAAGTAGCTAGGCAGCAACGCAATGAAACATTTCTTCTGCCACTGTAATCTGGCCAACAATGCACCTCGCACCCGGTGCGAGCTCTTTGTTCGCTCTTATGAATTTCCACTAGCCTACGGTGCCTCATGGCCTAAGATATTCGATATTATCCATGCTTTTCGCATTAGTAAGACTCGGGGGTAGTGACGAAGGTCAATTGTAGTGCCCGGCACTACACCCACGACTTCGCCGCAGCCATGCATCGTGATACGTCATTCAAGCACTCTACTATGGGGCATTAAAGCGTTTATAATACTGCAGAACAATCTTGAAAATTTGTTGAGTACCTAAATATAACCAACGCCGGGGTTTTTTGGGAAAGCAGCAGCCATTCCACGCCATTGGGGACAACTTCACGCAGACGGAGGAGACGCCTGTCAGTTCACGGCTCCTGCCCCCAGCAAGTAGCTAGGCAGCAACGCAATGAAACATTTCTTCTGCCACTGTAATCTGGCCAACAATGCATCTTTAGAGTAAGACGAGGGAGGCCCTCCCACTCCAGATGCCCGTCGATTTTGTGTTCGCTTAGAGCCACTTGGGCAGCCATGGTCC